CTGGGTGCCCCGTGGGGTCACAAGCCCGGCCAGCAAACCTGCTCCAGCCTGGGCTCCTCTCTCCATGGGGCCACAGGGCCTGACAGGAGCCTGCTCCAGTGCGGGCTTCCCATGGGGTCCCAGCCTCCTTTGGGCATCCCCTTGCTCTGGTCTAGGGTCCTCCCCGGGCTGCAGGTGGGGATCTGCTCCAGCGTGGGCCTCCGTGGGCTGCCGGGGGACAGCCGGCCTCCCCGTGGGCTGCACCAGGGGATGGGGGGAATCTCTGCTCCGGGCCTGCAGCACCTCCTCCTCCTGCTGCACTCACCGGGGGGCTGCGGGGCTGCTCCTACCACACATTCTCACTCCTCTCTCCACCTGCAATTGCTGTTGTGCAGAGGTTTTTTTCCCCCCTCTTAAATCTGTTATCCCAAAGGCGCTGCCGTTGTCACTGGTGTGCCAGGCCTTGGTCAGCTGCAGGTCTGTCTTGGAGCCAGCTGGCATTCACTCCATCGGACAGGGGGGAAGCTTTTAGCATCTTATCACAGATGCCACCCCTGTGGCCTCCCTGCTACCAAAACCTTGCCACACAAATCCAATACAAGATATTTGTTGAAATTTCATTTGGCCAAGATCTGACTCGACCTTTCATAGCCCAAAAAATGGACTAGCCATAGCCTTTCAAGTGGTGGTGTGCCTTCGCTGAACTGAGGTTACTGTGTTCAGTTCAGGTTCAGTTACCATGTGACTTTCCTGGAGCTGGCTTAGGGTTTTGCTAATAACTGACTTTGGTGCCTTAATTTCTTGAGATTGCTTTTTTAAAAAAATAAATAGCTATAAAACATACACTACTTCAGTAGCAATACAACCCTGAGTATCACACAGTTGCTTTCTAACTAACCAATCATTATTTATTTTATTTTTTAAAAGGAGACAGCAATCATAAAAGAGGCAGAGATGGTCTTATTGCAGCTTCTGTTCTCTTAATTGCACTTGTAGGACTACTAGTATTCCTGTGCATAAGAGGTAGGTATAAAATCACCTAATTGAGCTTAACATGCTTCAAGGTTGTGCTGATCTAAGGTTCTGTAGGATGTGTGAAAGTTTCTGGCCATGAGATGTACTGTACATATGGTAGCAGAAACAACTACAACTTATGCAAAGGCTAATAGATTTGAAGGAAGTAATACACTGAACTTTGCACTTAGTCACTGGGCTTTGTGTACTGGGAAACACTATAGTTTGTATTTGCTTATTTCTCCTTCAGACTGGATGTTTCATTTACTATGTGTTTCTACTTACCAAGTATCAATGTGCTCTCCCGTTCCTACCTGAGTGTGCTTTCAATGCCTCTTTTGCGAGCATCAAGCTGCCCTCAAGATCAGATTTATTGTTGGGACAGGCTCATACCAGGGTCTGCTGAATACCTTGTGCTAAGTCTAATCTTGTCAGTGTGCTCAGCTGATACATAAGGACTTTTGTGCCTCCTGTCAGCCTGTGTTGTCATCATCTTGGAGTTTTAAATTTGTTTCTTGATCCAACCCTACACTAAATTCAAGTATCTTTTTTGTAAATCTGTCAGCTTATTTGGAAATGGTAATTGTAGGCTGTCACTGTGTATCTCTTATTGCCACCTTTTTAGATTAATATGTCAGATTGTATTCTGGCTTGAAAAAGAGGTGCACACCATCATTTCTCTTTGTGTTTGAGAGAGTCCCCAACAGGAACATGTTGCTTCATCCTACCAGTGCTCTGCATGGAAAATTCCTTTTGGCTTCCAGGTGCGGTCACCATTTGGAGGTGACTGCAGGGGGAAGAGCATGGGATGCATCTCCTATCTGGGAAGGGCTAATTGGTAACTCTGGAGGGAGGCTCTGATCAGATGTATATTTCACATGTACCTTATGCTTTCCTGATCGTTCTCCATCTAGCTTCTGTTGGCATGGAATCATAAAATAAACTAGATGGATAAAACCTCCAGAGATTCCTTCCCAACATCCTGCTTTGAGCAGGACCAGCTTCAAAGCTAGATCAGGTTGCTTAGGGCCTTGTCCAGTCAAACTGAATAATTCCAAGGATGGAAGTTCCCCAGCCTTTTTCAGCATGTGTTCAAGTGCTGAATCACCCTTGTGGGGAAGGATATTTTCCTTACTTCTGTCAGGAATTTCCCTTTTGCAACTTGCAGCCATTGCCTCCTGTCTTTTTGTTCCGTACTTCTGAGAGGAGTTTCCTTTGTTTTCTACAGAAGTTAGCTGTAGACTGCAATTAGCCATCCCCTTAGCCTTCCTCAGGCTGAGCAAGCCCAATTCTCTCAGCACTTCCTTGCACAGCTCCTGCCCCCTAAACATCTCCAGGTATTCTGTTTATTTTGGTGCAGGTAGAATTAATCTTGGAACACGAAAAGCTGCTCAGAACTGTCTGGTGCATCACTCAGGTAAGAGAGCTAGTGTCACAAATGTGTGGAAATCAGACTATTGCTTTAATTTGGTTTGGGCTCAAACCTTTTCACTGTGGCAGTATAGTCTTTCATTGGAGAGGTAAAGGAGTAGGTTTTCTTTCAGACCTTAGTTGTTTTACAGAGTGTAGTTATTTTTTCCACATCATTAATATTTACTTTTCTCTGTAGACAGCTAAGAACAGCCTGACTCAGAGGTAAGAAACCTGTAGTGGGGTATAAATGTTTCTAAACATCTGCTGTTTGGAGCAAGGAGTGTGATCTGTTCTTTCCTTTTTTGCAGGGTCTAAGCTTTTAAGTTGATTTTCAGTGTGTGCACATGTGGCCTTCAAAAAAAAAAACAACACCCAACCAAAAAAACCTCCTTTTGGTACTGCACTTAAATATACTTTAGACTGTTTCTATTAAAGATTCTTTAAGGCCTGCAAATAGAAAGGGTTTAAAGGCACAATGTTAGTGCAACACACACATGAAGTAAAAAAATACGTGGATCCTCTTCTCAGCTGTCTCTCGCTTTTTTTATGGCAAATCTGCAGCTTTATCACCTTAAGTAAACCCACTTCAGAAAGATTCTGTAAAGCTATAGGCATAAGTATAGGTAATGTTGGTTATGGTCTGGGACCTTAAGTGGTTGCTGGAGGGAAGTCGAAGTTGAAATTATTTGTGAGTCCTTCAATAAAGTGGCATAATGTACTAGTTCTCAGGAGTATCTGCTGAAAGTATTATAATGAAACTGTCACTTCAAGGCTGAGTTCATATTTTGCAGACTATTGTGCTATCTCCATAGACACTTCTAAAACAGATTTCTGTTTGCTTGCAGCTACATCTTCACAAGCTATTGACTATGAGAATGAAAAGCCTGAAGCAGGTAACAAGTGAGATGGTGACCTAAAACAGGGGAACATGGAGGGGGGAATTAATTTTGCACATGGCCTTTTGCAGTCCAAAACATATTAGCGTGTTCTCAGTGTAGACATTACCATTCCCCTGTTGGCCTAGAAAGACCTGTTGCCTTAGGAACAGTAAATGTTGACGGCTAGATCACTAGATGAGAAGTCAAAAAGACCTAAATCCTCGTGTGTGTTAAACAGCACTGAGCAAATACCTTCTTGGGGCTTCAGCTTCCCGCTTGATATGATAAGAATGATGCTGCATGCTGTATTTACAAATTGCTTCACTATCTGTGGAAGGAAGAACTAAGCATGTATGAGTGAACCCATTTTTATAGTAAAGAAGTAAATTACCCTTTTGTCTAACATTACTTTTTATTTGCGTGCAAAAGAGTGCAAGGATATTTTTATAGTATGTCATCATGGGTAGGTGATCTTTGCTTTCTGCTGGAAAGCAATCCTCAAGCAGGACCTAAGAAAATACAATGCTGCAGCTTCAAAGCTTTGTTTGTATTGATGGCAAATAAATCTGAGCTTCAACGAAGCAATTTAGAGATGAGATGCTTACAAACTTGCGAAATTCTAATTTGGGAGATACAGCAGGCTTCTTTCCTTAGAGAAACACCATTTCTGGATGTGGCATCTTCCACTTCCTCTATGCTCTAGGAAAGTATTTTGACTGCATTAATCAGGTAGCTAAGCAAAGCCCCAATTTTGTTTTCTTAGTACAGCCAATGTAAATTTCAAGGAAGTTCTAGGACCTGTATTTTTTTCTAGAAGTTCTTTTTACTCCAGGGGGATAGTGAACTGTGAACATCATAGTTCAAGTCAGCAAAAACATGTGGTGTTTTTTTTTTTCCCTAGGCTATTGCATTGACGATTCATTCACTCACTAATTCTTCCACCATTTTCCACAAGTTGCTGATAATAAGGGGGTCGGAGAGGACAGAAGTTTTTCCTTATTAAGGGAAAAATCACTAATGATGACAGTAAGGAAAAGGAATCCAGAAGCCCGTGGGTCTTCCTGCTTATTCTTCCTGCATGAATTGTAGCGGGCGTAGGACGACTTTCCTAATCTGAAGAAATAGGGGTTGTGTAGCTGATGGCAAAGGTCTAGTGCACTATGGGTTGTCTTATCACTTGTGTAACTATTTCCACAGACATAGATATAGGAGAAGGAGGTTTATTTTATGCCTGTCTTATGGAAGAAAGAAGGGAAACATACAGTTCAGGCAAAAGAGAATCAGGTCCATAGATAGAGATTGTCTGTTTGGACACTAGAGGAGCAAAATAAAATACGTTATTTTGCTGCAGTATAGAGTAGGAACACCAGGAAGGGGAGCCCGTGCACCTTTGCTCAGCACACCCTGCAGCACCCTGGTAGCATGCAATCACTGCTGTATGGATGGGAAACAGTAGGCAACGCTATGATGGTCTTAAACATGTGTACAAAGCACTTTTAGATAGGGCTTCTGCTGGTAGCACAGCAGTACGTAACAATTGCAGAGGAGAAGGTGGGCTGCTGAGCTCTGGACAGCGCAGAGAAATGACCTATGCTGGTGTGGGGAAGAAGCAATGGAGTGTGCTCCTGAGGGACTGTAGCTCTTCTCTGATCTCTTTTCAGACAAAGAAGTGAACAAGGAGGATAGCACCCCGGAAGACAAGCAAATGATTAACAGTGATATAAATCAGGAAGGTAAGTGCCTGTTCTGTGGAGCAGTCAGTGCTCATGACCCAGTGGGCAAACGGGCCAGGATCCTGTGGAGTTAAAGGCTCAGAGTGACTTCTGTGTAATGCTTCACAATGAAGTATTGGCAGGGATTGTGCCATGAATGCTGAATACCTGTCCTCTGTGCAGGAATTTCAGGAGCAGAGTTAACCAGCTTTCAGGCTGTAGTTAAGGACAGAGCGAGTCTTGTGTTTTTACCACCCTTGGAAATAACCTCAGCAGAGCGTATGGACTTGAAGGATGTGTGTTTTGGAGATCATTGGGGTTTAAAAAAATAAATAATAATTAAAAAAAAATGTCCCAGTCAGAGTGAGGTGAGAATACTGGTCAAGTGGCAGTCCCTGCTCAAGTGCTGGCTTCTGGTCTTCTGGTTAATGCTGCCTGTTGGGAGATCTCTGCAAGGGGCCTCCACTGCCCTGTTGTGTGCACATGAAGCACTTAAGTGAGGAGCGAGAGTTGATGTGACCAAGAGGAAGCTTGGTTTGGAGAGAATGCTGCTCTGTGAAATGGAGTCAGGCTGTCCTTCATTATCTCTGGTGGAAGACAGTACTCTGTATGTGTCTGTCTGTCTTTAACATCCCTGACATCTGCTGGAAAGGCAACTCAACAATTCAAGCAGTCAGGAAGATTTCTGGGCAGCACTGGAGACAACTGCTTCACACAGGCTACTGGATGCACCAGCAAGGGCTGATGTGCAGCTGTATCTGCTCCTCACTAACGGAGGAGGACTGGATGGGGATGTGGTCACAGATGGCTGCTTTGGCTGTAATGACCAAGAGAGAGCTCCAGATCCTGAGAGGAGTGAGGAAGGTAAGCATCAGAGTACAGGCCCTGCACTAGGTCCAGTCCTCTTTAGTATCTTCATTAATGATCTGAATGATGGGACAGAATATGCCTTCAGCAGGTTTGCTGAGGATACAAAACTAGGAGTGGCTGACATAATGAAGGGGTGTGTTGCCAACCAGAGGGACTTCATCAGGCTGAAGGATTGTGCTGGCAGGAACCTCATGCAGTTCCACAAAAGGAAATGTAAAATGCTGCACCTGAGGCAGAATAACCCCATGCACTGGTATATGCTGGGGACCAACCAGCTGAAAAAGCAGCTTTTCAGTAAAGGACCTGGGAGTCCTGAAGGACAAGACAAGCATGAGCCAACAGTGTGCCCTTGCAGCAAAGGCGGCTATTGGTATCCTGGGCTGCATTAGGAGTCTTGCCAGCAGTGTGAGGGAGGTGATCCTTCTCTTCTACTCAGCACTGGTGAGGCCATGCCCGGAGTCCTGTTCTGGCCTCCCCAGTACAAAGGAGATGTGGAGCCACTGGAGAGAATCCCACAAAGGGCCATGAAGATGACTAAGGGACTGGACATGGTCCTGGGCAGCCTGCTGTTGTTGAGCCCACTTGAACGGGGGTATAGGACAAGATGACGTCTAAGGCTCCCTTCCAACCTCAACCATTGTGTGATTCTGTAATATCTCTTAAATGAGGAAAGGCTGAGAGAGCTGGCAGTCTTCAGTTTGGAGAAGAGAAGGCTGAAGGGGATCTCACTGATGTATGTAAATACCTGATGAGAGCAAATGAAGAAAAGGGAGCCACACTCTTTTCAGTGGCTGTCCAGTGGCACGACAAGAGGCAATGGACAGCATTTGAAACATAAGAGGATCTGTCTGAACATCAGGAAACACTTTTTTGCTGCAAGGGTGACTGTGCACTGGAACACATTGCCCAGAGAGGCTATGGAGTCTCCCAACTTGGAGACACTCAAAAGCTGTCTGGACATGGTCCTGGGCAGCCTTCTCTAGGTTCATCTGCTTGAGCAGGGGGTTGGACAAGATGACTTCCAGGGGATCCTTCCCATGTCAATCATTATATGATTCTCTGATATCAGATACAGATAAGGCTGAGATACCGAGTGCTAACTTTGCCTCTATCTTGACAGTCTCTGTGGCATTTTTGCCTGGAGGCAGGCTAAGGGAGGAAAGGATCTGCTAATAATGGAAGTGGATCAGATCAGGGATTTCTGGAGAAACCTTGGTGCAAACCAGTCCATGAGATCTGATACAAAGGTTGCTACAAGAGCTGGCAGATGTCATTGTGAAGAGGTTTTTTGTTGCCTTCAAAAGTCATGTTGGGGAAGATCTGTAACAACTGGAAGAAGGGAAACATTGCAGCTATCTTCCAAAAAGGCTGACAGGTCCATCTGTGAAACTACAGGTCAGTCAGGCTCGCTTTCATCCCTAGGAGAATCACGAAGCAAGTCTTCTTGGAACATCTTTCTGGTGACAGAAGAAAGATAGTGACTGCGAGTAAGCCTAAATTGCAGTTGACCAAGTTGACAACCTATTTTTGGATAAAGTGACTGGATCTGCAGATGAGAGAGGAACAATAAGTGTCATACCTTGACTTTAGCAAGGCTTTTTATGCATTGTCCCTCAGCATTGTTGGAGTCCTAAGGTGGGATGTCCTAGTTCAGATGAACGTCTGTCTACATGGGTAGAAGACTTGCTAATTTGTCATGCCTGCAGGTAGTCGTTAATGGATTGTTCTCCACATGGATGCTGATGGCAAGTGGAGTATTGCAGAGGTCTATTTTTTTGGTGACCTGGACAAGGGAGAGAGAACAGTGTTATTGAGTTCATAGATGACAGCAAAATGTGGAGTGCAGTCAGTTAGTAGGAGGGCAGGATTGTTCAGAGGGAGCTGGAGGTGTAGAGGCTTGTGTGAAACTCATGAAATTCTGCAGGGGCCGTGCAGGGTCCTACAGCTGGATGGACCAACACCCTGCACTCCTGCAGGCTGGGGACTGATTGGCAGGGGAACAGCTCTGCTGAAAGGTACCTGGGAGTCCTTGTGGGCAGTACACTGAGTCAACAGTGCTCCCTGGCAGCAAAGAAGGCTGATAGCGTCCTGGGCTGTTTTAAGGAGTGCTTAAGCCAGTGGATTGAAGGTACTGGTTATTTTCCATTACTTGATGCTTGCTAGATGACAGGTAGAGTATTATATCTAGTTTGTGGCCCACCTAGTGCTGGAAAAGTGCTGATAAATTTGAGCAAGTTCAGCAGAGTGCCACGAATGTGGTCAGGGGCTGGAGCACAAGTCTTCTGAGGAGAGACTGAAGAAACTGGGCTTGTTTGACCCTAGAGAAGAGCAGACTTTCAGGGTACCTAACAGCAGCTGCTAGTACCTATGGGGATATCGATAAGAAGGTTGAGCCAGGATGTTTACTGGGGTGTATTAGTGGGATATCAAGGTGATGGTCCTAAATTGAAGCAGGGGAGATTCTGTGTGGATATGAGGAAAAAGATTTTTGCCTCTAAGCGTAACTAATCACTAGGACTGGCTGAATGGAGTCATCGTGGAGTTTCTACCCTTGGAGGCTTCTAAGACCTGACTGGAGAAAGTCCTGAGCAACCTGTCTAGAACTGAATGTTGACCTTTCATTGAGGAGGATGTTGGATTAGAGATGTGCTGGTCTCCCTCCCTGAGTGAACCGGAGTGATTCTGTGTGTCTTATGAGTTGTAGCTGGTGACTCATCTCTAAGCAATGACTCATACCACTGTGAAGTTAAGCAGTGAGATACACTCTGGAGGACTGTAGCTCTCCTGTGATCTTTTTCAGAACTCTCTGCCATGCAGAACAGAATCCTGACATCCAAGTGTGCAATTGACCATGGTGTAACTGAGGGAAGCAAGGGCCTCTTCTGTGGTGGGGAGCTGTCCTGAGGGAAAGGTGTTGGCTTTCTGGTATTAGCTGATGACGTTGGCAAGATGTTGAGCAGTAGCTAGTAACTCACTCTTATACAATAGCCAATACCTTGAAGCTGAGCAAGGCAGAGGACTGTAGTTGTCTCTGATCTCTCTTCAGATATCTCTGAGAAGGACAACAGCAGCTTGCTGGCCAAGCATGCAGATGACCATGGCATAAATGAAGGAGGTAAGTGCCTGTGCTACAGAGCAGTCTTTGTTCGTTGTGACTTTTGCCTAATGCTTCTTGATGTGAAGTTATGGTTGGCACCATGGGCACTAAATGCCTTCTGTGCTTGGCCTTTGCAGGGTGTGGAAGGGATCATGAAGACAGTGCGGAGTCAGGTATGGAGGAGAGAGAGGAGGTGTACGGTGGCCCCATGGGGGTGGGGGATGTTGGTCGGGGCTATTATTGATGCTGAACAAATGGCCTGTTTAAAACTGTAGGGTTAAATGTTACTAACATTCATTAATAACACACCTCTTGCTCATGCTTGCACTTTTACTTTATTCTATGCCTTAACAAGGGGTAAGGGCTTATAGTGGCTGAAGTGTCAGGAAGGCAGTAAATTTTTGTGTCAGTGGATTCCTGAACTGCAATTCTACCTTGTTAATTATGAATGCTGTTGAACATCATATCAAAGTAGAGAGATGTTGTGTAGCACTGAAGGCTTTTTATTGCTTAGGTATACAGCTGTGTTTTGGTCACAAAGACTGCAGAGTTTACTTAATTTATGTTTTACTTATGGTTTGCTGTTTTTTTAAACCTATGTGGACATGGTGTGAAAGCTCTTCTGAATAAACAGGCTGGTGGGCCTGAGGGCTGACACATGGAGTGAGAAAACTGCTTATTACGCTGTATGGCAGAATAGTTGATCAGCACTACATCTTATTGATATTAGTGAAATTCAGGCTGCAAGGATGCAATGTTTCGCAACAATTGTTTCATGTTCCATGAATTAGTTAAAACCTTTACTCGGTCATCAGTTCTGTATGCGACATTTACTATGGGGGCATAACAGGCCTCCATTTATGTATCTTCAAAGCTGATTTGCCCTCTCAGTGTGTTTTCTATGGTATGTGTGCAAAGCAGGGCATCTGTGAGGTCACACAGCTGCTTCCTGGAGTACAATCAACATGGAGAATATCAAAACTCAGATTAGTCCTGTCCCAAATCTGATAACAGAAGAATGTAAGCGCTATCTTTTAATAAACTGCACAGGCAAAGGCTCACATTGGTCTGTCATCCATCCAGACCTGAATACGGTTTCTGTAGAATTTTTCTAGAGTATAGAAAGCCTATGGAATGCTAACTGGTTTTACTCTTGTTACTAATTAGTTTCACACTGTGATTCCCAAGAAGTGTTAAAGATCATAGATTTGGAGCTGAGATCATTGACCTTTAGTTTATAGTGAAAAGTCTTACTGAGACATCTAAATCCAGCAAAGACCACAAAAACATCAAGCCTTCACCAAAAGAGCAATTACTAGACTCTAAGTTTGGCTTCCAAAACACCTGGTAGTATTGCAGAAAATCA